CACCGTATACCGTCATAAAAGCATTAGCAATTAATCGCAACATGAAAAATTGATACCGGCATATCCCTAGTCATACCACATAAAGTTGGATATATGTCCAACTGTATGCAAATAAATACAGTACACATGTAAAGCAATATCAAATCTCAACTGCCTGATTTTAATTTTTTTTAACAGATTTATTAAATTAATTAAATATATATAAGAATATACTACATAGCATATGGAACAGTAATCAAATCTTAATATGACGGCCTACTGTGTGTGTGTGTGTGTATTAATATAAATGCATAACTTTATTTTAACAATTAAAATATTACATTAATACTATTCAAATAAAATGTAATCAATTAAAATATTAAAAACCTATTTATTCATTATACTTATTAAATATAATTTATTGCTGTCACTTGTGCTACTTTAAAATGATAATTTAGATTATAAAACAACTTTATATTATTTTAATTTAAAATTATATTAATATAAATGTATAACTTTATTTTAACAATTAAAATATTACATCAATACTATTCAAATTACATTTAATTAAAATATGAAAAAATATTAAATATAATTGCCACTTCTGCTAATTTAATTTACAGGATAAAATAACTTTTAAAATGTATAATATTTGAATAATGAAAATATTACATGAATACTATTAGAATTACATGTAATCAATCAATTAAATATTAAATGGCATTAGCAAAAGAAAATAAAAATATTAAATATATTTAAAAAAATGCAGAAGTCTGCAAATAAAATAAGCATTTTGCTCAAAACATCAGGGGTGTTTATGTGGTGACGTCTATTTTGGAACAAGTCTGACAAATTTGTTTTATAAAACGGATAGTTCCGGTCCTTGATTCTGATTGGTTGAGCCGCGTTCGAAGCTGTTGTAAATTACTCTACAAACGTACACCTCTTTGTTTCTGTGTCTGTGTGATGCTCGGCAACCACTTTGTTGCAACCAACCGTTTCCGAGGAACTACATTGTTTGGCGGAAGAATGTTTTTATTAATATCATTACATTTGATTTGCTTTGTTTTATAATAGTAAGCCCAGTGAAGCCGTGGTTTACAGTGAATTTATAACAGCTAAGGGGGTTTTAGGCACTCTGCTCCGCTGTTATAAATTCACTGTAAACCACGGCTTCTTGGGGCTTATTGCTTTAATTTACTTTGTGTATTAATAACTTTCTGCTGCAGTGTGTGATGTGCGCAGTCATGTAAAAGCTCACAGACATAAATGGCAGTCAGCAGAAAAGCATGGGGTCAGATCAGCAGAGATGGATTTTGTGTATTAATAACTTTCTGCTGTAGTGTGTGATATGTGCGCAGTCATGTAAAAGCTCACAGACATAAATGGCAGTCAGCAGAAAAGCATGGGGTCAGATCAGCAGAGATGGATGTTAATGTCAGAGAATTGCACAGATCTGGATGAACTGTAATGGATGTGACAGCCTGCAGAGGGCAGCAGCTGCTCACGCTGCACTAGATAGGGATCACAATCAGGGTGTGTCTGAAATGCTGACTAACAACCCTGTGTATTTAGTGAAGGTCCGCGCAGACGCATGGTGTCTCTAGATTTTCAAAGGAAGCAAATTTGAATGTGACATTTATAACTGTATCTTTGATTATTAAATGGTTTGATAATTGTAGGTAAAAGGCGCTCAACTAAAACTACAGAAACGTTTAGTTTTGTTACAAATATAATACTCTTAGGCCTACAGAGAATATAAAGACACTAAAAAGAGATAAAATAATTTACTATTAAAATATGCATAATATAAATACATAATAAAATATACCTAATAATTTCAATAATTTGTGCTAATTAATTTATAATAATTTTAAAATATATTAATAACAAAATAAAACACTACAATTACAATTACATTAATCAATGAAAATAATAAAATATTATATCATGACATTAAACAGTCAGTGTAGGCCAATTTAAAAGTTATTTTAATGCAATTAATTTTATAATAATAATAAAAATATTATAATAATTAAAACACTACATTTATACGATTAGAATTACGTTTTAATCAATCACATTTATGCGATTAGACACAGTTCAAATAAAACCATATCATAACATTAAAAAAGTCAATGTATGCCAATTTAAAAGTTCTTTAAATGCAACAGTAATACAAATTTGAATGACAACCTACTGATGCTAAAAAAGTATTTATATAATGTAAAAAAAAAAAAAATCAGTGCTTCTGTATTTTACACACATTAAATCTACAATAATTTTCTTTTAAGAATACAGCACAAGTGAGAAAATGCATAATATAAATGTCACATAAATAAACAATTTATCTAATTTAATATAATTAATTATTCTCACTTGTGTTGTATTCCATAAAGGCAGCACACTGTTCCTGACGAGTGAATGTGTTTCTGATCAGCGCTGATAGGGAGCATATGGTGAGCAGAGGGGAGGCCGGCTAACGCATTCACTCATTAAAGTGATCAGTGCTGACACGACACTCGAGTCCTCGGGGTCCGTCCACAGCTGACCTCTGAGCCACATACACTCACTCACACACACACACACACAGCAGAACAAACACACCCGACAGTCACAGCGGCAGGTGAACGCTGAGCTTATACACTCATAGACAATCAGTGGTGTGCACAGGGGGCTCAAGCCCCTGCCCCTTTAATCGCCGACGGAAAAGTGCCCTTTCAAGATTTGAAAACCAAGGTGCATCACACGCTACAAGATATTATTAAAGGTGACGTATCATGAAAATCTGAGTTTTCCAGGTTTTAAGTGCTATAATCAGGTCCCCAGTGCATCTACCAACCAAGGAAACGTGAAAAAGATTAACCCAGTAACTTTGTTTTGGGAAGCCTTTTTCTGCAAGCGTCTGAGAAAATCAAAGGGATCTCATTATAATATTACCGCCCCTTTATCTGTAAACTTCCACTCAAGGCACCGTCATTTTGATTTCGCAAGTGACAACGGTGTACCAGCTCTAATGCCATGGCGAAAGTTTGAGCAAAACATGCTAACTGTTCTGTGTTTGGCTGCACAGACGATCACAGAACACTGTTTAGAGTCCCAGCCTCAGAGGAGACAACAGAGCAATGGATTTATTGATTTATTTAGGCTACTGTACACACCCACACACACACACACACACACACACACACACACACACACACACACCGGGTATATCAGTGAGACATCTGTAACAGCAAGCACTGATTCTGAGCATTTTACACACAGTAAGACAGAGATTACTACTGTATTTGTCTGCCTTCTAGAAACATTACATCATCAGCGTTGCTGCTTGCTTACAGATGCCTGCAAAAAATCTTGATCAGTCTTGACTGTTTTCCAGAGGAATGTTTAGATATTTGTACTGAAGAAAAGACAAATATTACTGATTAACAAACAAGATTATTTGTAGTGGGGAAGCAAAATGAAGTCATCTAAATAAAATAATTAAAAAATATAATAATAAAAAAGTATATACATCACCACATCCAATGTGTTTCACTATAAACAATTTGAATGAATGCATTTTTAAATTATTTAAATGGATTCAAATAGATGCAACTAGTTTAACTATGCCATGATTTTATATTCACATTTAAATATAAAGATAAAAATAAAACAATACTAATTGAATATTGCTTGTTTTACAGCTAGCAATATTTCAATCATGGTTATACTTTTTAACTGAAAAAATATTATTATTTTTTTTTACAATTAACAGATTTATGATGATCCTATATGCAACTAGAATAAATGCATTCTAAAAATAAGATTTAAATAAAATCAAATAGATGCAACTAGTTAAACTATGCCGTGATTTTTATATAAACATTTAAACAAATACAAACATTAAAAAATAAGTAAATAAAATAAAAGTATATTTATTAATAAATCCAATGCACTTCAGTCTCTATATTTTAACTAATTAAATATTGCTTGTTCCAC